GTTTACCTCAGCTCTACCAATTTTTGTTCTAGTTTCAAATTTCAGGGTCATGATTCATGTTACGGTTATTTGTACATCGATGATGACTTCATGGAACATATACCGTCAACAGTGTCTATTCTATGCATATCTGCCGGTGAAGCGCTTAAAATTAAGAATGCTAATTTTGTTTCCAAACTTAAAAAGTAAATCGGTTAAAATAAAATATATCTAATTACTCCTATTAGAGCTCGTATGTTACTCCATATACTTTTTAGCAAAATCAAATTTCAAAATGAGGTGTTGTTCAAGCATTGTTACAAATGATGCAGTTCGACACATCATACAACTAATGATTTTTGTGGCATTGTTTTTTTACACCTAATGAATCATTTGTAGCACTGTTAGGTATAACATTAATATTCAGATTTTTCCAGGCTACGCTTATTTGATGCCCAGTATTCATTTTTGAGCCTCAGTACACTCCAGGATCTAGTATATAATGCACCCAATTTATTATATCTCGATTTATCCAATTCTCCGTTTATAACAGATTTCTCACCAATTGGAAAATTATCAGAGCTTAAGTATGAATAGCTACCATTTCCTAATTTTAATTCAGAAACAAATATAACTTTTTTTTATTAAGTTTTTAAGCAAATTATTTTGTAAAAACCACCGAGATTGTTGTAGCCTTCACGTTCTTTACTTACTTAAACCTTTTTATCTCATATTTCATCTTATAGTTTTGTTTTCATTTTTGTCTTTATATCTTAGATGAGATGCTTACCCGTCATCTTTATCACACTAATTACAGAAGCTTGCTATTAAATGGCAATTGCATTTATTTAAAAAGTGTGCAGTTGAATGCTATAATCAAAGGTTGTATATCACTGGAAGTATTGTCACTGGAAAGATGCTCCAAACTAAGGTTTGACATTTTCTAATCACTTATAGATGTCTGGTGAATTCTGATTCCGATTCTAGCGCATAAGCTTTATTTTAAAGTGTAAATAATGTTACATTTATTAAGCAACGAAGACTTGAAGATAATCAGTAAATGTGCAACCTTGAAGGAGTTACATTTATCTGGTACAACAACTATGACAGACGACACTCTTACTTGTATTGCTTTTGGTATTCCGTTACTGGAGGTATTGGATATCAGTTACTGCAAATCAGTTAGTCATTTATGAAGTGTAAAGAAGCAAAAATTGATTGAAGAGAGGAATTTAAGGTTGTAGGGGATTAACTGTTGCTTAGCTGTATACGAGTAAATCATTTAAATGTGGATGACGTAAAATGTCTAGTCTATACAGGAAATGCTCTTTAATAAAAACATGTTCAATCGAAATTTGAATAAATTTATGTTTTGTTTCGAATGACTTATATTTCATCGAAGGTATTTTTAGTTGACATCAAAAGGACTGAAAAGCTTGACTATGTTACAAAAACTAGATCATCTTTGCACTAATGGAATCTATGATTTCGATGATAATTTGGTAAATTTGATCCGTAATTGCCGACCTCACTGCATCATAGAAGCGTTTCATTGTCGATATTCGATGAGTACCAGCGAATTGTTTCAGATGTAACTGATCCTTTCTTTCTTTTTCATTGATTCCAGCAAAACGAATACCATCAATTTAATAATATTGACATCTTAGAATTATCATTTGCGAGATTCATTTGTAGTGGTGATAACAATAGCTTGTTCATGATAGCAGTAGCTTTAATTTGAATCAAACTGATGAAGAATGAAAAGAGAAATTAGTACTTTGGTACTACTGGGTGAAGTTATAAAGCAAAAATCTGAATTCCATACTTTTTTAAAATACAAATTTGCTTCTGTTAGCATCAAATAATTAAACTTTCAGGGCATTTTTGAAATCGATGATAGAGCCGGAGTCTGTTAAAAGTACCTACCAGATATCTCGTTATCGCTACATTTAATAATCGGTGATTTCTTACTCTCTACTTACATTTTAATACTTTTGTACTTGATAGTTGATAGATGTTTAAACGCCAGTTATTTAAAACTCGCTATTTTATTTGACGTGTTTTAATATTGAATGAACGACGTGTTTTAATATTACTTCCCCGGCTTTATTGGTGCGGTTAATTGATTTACTTAGTCGAATGAATTAAAAAGATACTCCATCTATTTTCATTTTTTTGAGAATAACTATTTAAGGGAATATTCTATATATTTTCTGTTGTGTTCAAGAATTATATTATTTTAAATAAACGAGCAGTCGTAATCCTCTTCATTTTTTAAATTTAAAAGAGATTGTTGCCTTCAATGAAGATATGCAATATGCTTTCTTAGAAAAGATGAACCTCAATGTCCGACCAAATACTTTCATTTCATCTTATTTTTACAATGTTATATTCATTTATATTTTGGAGTATAAGTTCGGTTTGTCATTCGTAAAATATGTTGAAAAAATCAACTTATTTTTGTACTGTAGAAAACAATTTTGGAAAATTTTCATACTATAAATATTTGGTATTTGGTTACTGCGTCGCAGAATACTGTAAACATTTCAGTCAAATAGTAAGATTATTATAGATGAATCTTGTAATAACACTGTGTAAATGAAAACACTGTAACTCCCACGCGACCTTTGTTAGTTGTATTGTTACTGTAAATCAATGGGATTTTCCCTGTATTCGTTCAATAAATCAATATCAGTCAACCATCTCTATAAAATATAAAAGTTATCTAGTATCACCACAAATCGGATATTCCCTATTATTGTCTTACAACTCTATTGGATAATATTCCTTCAACTAATTAACCTTTGACAAATTATTCTTCTGGTTCCAAGACACTTCATCAAGTTACTCCAGACAAAAACTTTTACAGCAAATTTGGTATCACGAGCCAAAATAGAAGCTTTTACAAGTGTCATATCTAACAGTATAATTAAAAAAGGGGGAGTAGCAGAACTTCAACAAACTGGGACAAGAAGAATCATCATGAATAAATTGCGATCTCTCGGAATGCAACATAGCAATTCTTCAAAACGACCAATAAAGGCTGGCTTGACTATGACCACAAACTGTCGAGAAAGGAAGGAGAGAAACATGATCTAATGGTTGGAGTTGAGGAAGGTATGGCAAGATTAGTAACTCAGTATTTCAAATTAAATTCATCTTAAACTCAAAATAATGTGACTCGTGAACAGGAATCATCTCAAATAAATCTACCTTAATTACTACTACCTAAATTTAATAGTATTCGATAGAATAATTTTGATGCTGTGATGCATTTTCAAACTATACGAAACATCAAGAAACTAAATTATTTAATGTCCTGTTTCCAAGAAGACTCTCCCTATTAGTCGTTTTGCTTCACAAAATTATGACGTTATAAAGGGAGATAAGGAATCGCCCTAGTAGGAATTAAATTTACAAAGAGAAGAATTAACCACACAATTGGAAAATCGATAATATCGGAAATTGATCAGTATTGGTACAGTTAGTCTTATAATATTATCTAAATAGATTTTTAGTAGGGTTCCTGTGAATATTTGGAATATTTGAAATATTCTGTGGCATAGCAATCACATATCAAATATTTATAATATGGAAATTGGAAGTTAACTAATTTTCCGAAATTGTTTTCTACAATGCAAAAACAACGTGGTTCTTTCACCACATTTTTATATTATAAAGCTATTTTAGCTTTCCGATACACTTCGTAATTTAATTCGGAAGAACAAACTAAGTTTGTGTTTTAAAACTTAAGATGACAGAAGCACATCTCACAACAACAAATTGTTAAACTATATGCATGGTTAAATAAGTATATGGTTATAAATATGGTTAAAAAATTATCTCCGCCCCAGCAATCAGTAATTTGAAGAGGAGGAATATGTATATTCCAAAATGTAGCTACTTCCTATTTAACTTTGCTGCGGGAAACTAAATGATTTCTATTTACCGAAAAATTACTAGCGGTTTTCTCTAGATATGCACGCCAAGGTTGAAAAATCACCAAGATGAGATGACTTTCACTTTTCATTGAAATGTGATGCGGAATGGCGGCAGAGAAAACAAAGGACAGCACGGATGGAATACGGAGAATGACGCGTTATTTACACAGTAAATTTCTATTACAATAACTACTTGCCTGCAGCAATCGTGGTCAGTGAAGTGTCTCGGTAAATAATGCCACTTGATGGTAGCGGTACTTAATGTGCACAGCAGTACATAATGTCACTAACGAGAATGTCTTTGATAGTTATGCTTGTGGTTTTTACTTATCCAGGTATTTTTGAAAATTGCGAAAGTGAGATGAATTTATGGATTGATTAGCACTTTTATTATCAGATATTTAGCTGCACCCAAAATCTACTGTTGAACTTTTTTATCTAATGTCATAAGAATTCAAATTTCTACAATAAAGTGTTTTTAACAATCCAAAATGCTCGATTGAATAATGCTCTTAAGCTTATCAATCAAACATTTGAAAAAATTTTACAATTCACGGAACAAATGTAGCTACTAATGTCTTTTCTAATGACAGAATTGAGTGCAGAAGTTATGCGACACAAATATTATTATTACAGCATATGGTTGTACACCTTTCGATTATGATGCTATCACGCAGAATGTGGCGCTACGGTCACACTATGCTCATGGTGAAAGCACATTCAAATCACAGTTAATCACTATTAGTAAGTGATACGAGCAGTAGCAAAAACAAATTGCAAAATTCTCAAGAAAGTGTTTAAAGATTTTCTTTCCAAATGAATAAGGAAAGAACTCTTTCGATTGTTAAATAATCATAAATTGAGTAAATCACAACATAGCCATATCCGAAAACATTCCTCTTGTCTCTTTGCTTATTTTTGCATTTGTTGATTTTTATAATATAGTTATTAGCAGGTTACTAATTAGAGAAATGAATAGGTAATTCAGTGGAGGAGAATGGATTCATTGAAAGGACTAATGATTTATTCTGCTATAACTTCGATTCCAGTTGTCGGTGGCATAATATAGATAATTTATTGATGAATGATGATTTAAACTGGTATCGCGGTAATGGCTTTCTAGATCGTAATCGTTTACAGGTCCACGTTAACTCTCCTATGTTTTTCTGCTCAAATGCTAAGAAGTGAATATGTCTCAATATTTAGATGTCTGATTACCAAGTTAGAAATCTAAATTTCAAAACCAAGTTAGAAAAGCGGTCTTTCATAATCTTTTTTGTATAAAATATCAGTTATATTTTTGCAAAAAATATAGGCTTGATTTCAGTGGATCAAGATTGTCTAATCAACTAAATAAGTATATGTTCAGTAAATGGTAATTAAAGATGACGGCTGAATTAGGGGGCTAAATGCACTTTAGAAAATAATTTGGAGAAGCATTAATTTATTACATTCGATTAATTAACATAGATTCATACAGGTGTCGACAGGAACATACAGTACACCTGATGGGACTTATGCTATTGTGGCAACAGATCGAATTATGCCCACGAATTCAAAGGCAACACTGATAAGCGATGTGGTAACTTGTCAGCTTGGACCGGGAGAACTGCGATTCATGTAAGCACGTTTCTGTATAGATGCCAGGAAAGATCTTAGAAAAAAGGGTAATAACCTTTGCCATAATTTCAACTTTTAACGAAAATAAATTCAGAGGTAAAAAATTGCTAAAAATTCTAAAACTGAAAGGGTAAATGAATAGGATGGGTCATACAAAACTGAATATTATTACTAATCTGACTTGGCAATCTGCAAATTTTCATGATTTCAGGTACTGGATTAGTCCAGAAGTAAGAATAACGGTATGTCTAAAACGTATAAGTCAACCGTATCCTAATTTCGATTTTTGCACTAGCCCGATAAGAGGAGGCAGTCCAGGACCTGCACAACTTAGCATTGATGACCTTGGAAATGAACCATTTCAGGTTAGTCTAGTTTTGAACTGAATGATTGAAAATATTCAAGCATTTTCTGATTCTTTCATTACTGACCCATATGATTTGTATAATGTGAAAGCTGGAGGAATTCCGACTAAATTTTCTACTAGAAATCAGAAAAAAGGCGAAGTCATTCCCACGAATTTCTGTTGCGGAATATTAACTTCAAAATCCAATCTCATTATTCTGACTCTGTAGATTTTTTTAAATACTGTCTGAAATTTTAGGCTTATATAATTTTTAATCCTTTAATTTACTTCCAGAGAAAATTTCACTTAGCTTTGTAGATTCTGATTCAAGCTGATAATTTCATATTTCACTCTGCTAATCTGGAAGGCGGTTTTGCTATTATTGACAACTTGGAGTATTATGGCGATCTGTGTTCCGATACTGCTATACTTTTAATCAATGTCCGAACTGTATTCTTGAATTTAAATTTATTCTTTGGCATTCAATACTGGTTTTAATTTCTTTTAATTCAAAAAACATCAGAAAGAAATAAGGCTATAGTCCATTTTCAGTTTCTGTAAACTTGTATTTATATTCATTCAGATTAAACTTTTACTTCTGTGATTTAATTTGTTTTGTAGCGAGATTTCGCCGCATCGCAAGTTATGCACGAAGGTGAACTATCGCAAATTCCCGACATGAGGAACACCCTTACGGTTTATAAGCCTGTATGTGAGGTGCTGAACTGCACTTTCGATGATAAGGACGATCAGTGTGGCATAGATATTTTAAATTCACTGTGGTCCGTTGCACGTGCTAGTGTTGACAGGTCGCGGGTAGAAAACATTTCCAGTTTGTTCTATAAACCAGGTGAAATAAACTCCTCCTGATTTGGAATTTTGAGGAATGAACTGAAATTAAAGACAGCAACTAAACTTAAATTATTATCGGAAATGTGAAGTATTGTTTGATGTGTCAAGCAGATGATTCTTGAAGCTAAATATTATTGGATTTTCTTCATTTCTATAATCTTAATTAATTAGTAAAAGGATAGAAAAAGAAAACTCATTTATTTGCAGCTGGCTCTTTTATTTATATCGAGGGACCTATAGCAAAGACTCGTCTTTATACTGCATCCTTCCAATCTACTATTGATTTCAACTTTGTTTTTGCTTATTACAAAACTTCAAACAATTCAAAACTTCGAGCTATTATCAAAATGAGTGAAGAGCCGATGGAGAAAATTATTTTCATGGTATTTCATCCATTCACTTTAAAATAGCCCTTGTTTTCTTAACAAATACTATTCCAACTCAAAATCATATAATGCATCAAAAACATATTATTCCCTTTTGAGTCTTAGATTCTTCATACTTTACTCGAAATAATAGATTTGCAGATTCCAATGCAGAAAAAACAAACCAAAAGATGGTATCGAGAACTGATTTCATTACAAGCGGGTTTCTACGACTACGTCAGTCTATCCATCAGTTAAACATGATTGCCGAAACTGCCATTTATATTCAAGATATTCCTGTCTGCCCAAAAAAACAGGGAAAAGCAAACAAATACCCTATGAAGGAATATGTAAAGTTCGTAGTGAGGTGGGAGTCCTACGGGTAGTAGCCCTCTAATGCGAACATACAGTACGACACATCCCTAGCCTCAAGTTGTTCAAGGGTCCAAACTTGTCCGAACTTCGAATCTAACAATACCTCTAAATCGACGCCAAGAATATTTTTCAACATTTTACAGGCAGCTATAGAGATTCAAGACTTGAATGAGGACGAATACATTGGTATTGCTGAATTCTTGGTGTTGGATTCACAGAAGAGGTCAATCTGTTCTCAGCAGAGGAATTCCTGATTTCATCTTTTATATTTTTATATCTAATAACGTAAGTTCCACTACCAAATGTGAATACTTAAATAAACTAATACATTTTTACAAGTCGATAAATTTCAAAAAACATTTGTGATTTTTCATACTCATTCTTAAAAAAATGACATTTGATATCATTAAATTCAGTTAAGTAGTTCTTGGAAAAACACTACTTGGACAAATGAACTTCTGAATGAAATGCAAATCATGGGGATTTCTTGAGTAATAGAAATGATAAAAAATAAATAATACAGAAACCCTCCTTGCTTTCTTTTGAAAGCAGTTACAAAAACAAAAAAAAAGTTGTTATAAAGGATGTCAAATGGTAAGAATAATAAGTGATTGCTAGTCATAAATTGATCACTCAAACCATACATTTATATTCATATAATAATGCTAACACAATATCTTTAAAAGAAGAATGTTTTCCACAGCTAGTGGTAAAATGTACAAATCTTAGAAACTGGTAAAAAAGCAAATTAGATGAACTGTTTGAGGAATATAATAAAACTGAACAGGAAATTTTAAAATCAATTTTCAGACTATGAATTAAATTTCAATATTGTATTTTCCGTAATGCAATTAGCATACAGTAGCAACAAATTGTTATACAAGAATAATATCTCAGATGCAGTGTAGCCCCATAAGATATATATTGTTAAAAACAGCGAGATACAAATTCGAATTTGATAAGTCTAGAAAATATGAAAAATTAGTTTTTTTTTTAAATGAAATTCATACTTCCACAAAAGGGTAATAAGATTCATATGAACTTCATGATTGAACCTTCAAAACAACAGTGGAATATTTCAAATCCTGTGACGTGCAATAAGATCTAAAAATGCTAAAGCTGTAATACCAACTATCTGATGAGACGCGGAGTGACCTTGAAAAAATAAAAGTATTGTGAAAAGGTTATATTTTCCAAAGACTACTCTTTAATAGAGTGCGAGAATATTGAATCACGACGTCCAAGTGAGGGTAAAAATGTAGAAGTGGAAAGCATCTGTCGAAAACCCCGAGTCGGAATGGTAAAGCCGGTAGTATGTGTTCTTCCATCCGGCGACGTCCTTTCAAAGCTTTCGTCCACTGGATGAAGGTTACTGCGAGAATGCAACCGTGACAGTGTATTCGATATACTCAAGTGCATAGTAGACATCGCACGCCTGAACTGGCTTTGTGGTCGTGCACGAGGGGTTCCTAATGACTGATATCCACCAAAGGGATTTCGAACTCTGAAAAGAAAAGACGGTTAAGATCATGACTAAATAGAAGTATCAACTGCTTTATAGTGAATTGATACTTCTATTCAAGAGTGAGAGAAGTAAAGCTATGGACAATTTCTACAAGTTAGAATTCTAATGAGAAATAATGCTCACGAAGGCATCCAACGACCGAAAGGAGTAAAATTCCCTTCTTCTGTCCTACGCCTGTTGAAAGATTTATTTTTTTAGCAATTACAAAAGACAGCGTTTAAAATACTGAACGAAGCTAGGAAAGCACAAGTAAGTGTCCTTATCTGCTTGTTCAGGATGAAACCATTTTTTATGGGGAATTCCTTCAGTATCTATTATGAATATGTAAGTTAAGCAATAATTGCTTACGCATGATTTAATGCTTTCTTGATAGTTGTTATATTTTCTTTGACACCTAATGATGAGGGATCTTCGTCGAAGTCCACTTTCTCCACCAGTGTATTCCTTCCCACCAATTTATACACCTGCGATAAGAGTATGATTAAATCAATTAGTATAACTCCCGTATGACCAAACAGTAGACAGAGTTTGAGAGAAAATAGAAACTAATAAATTGGAATTAGGAAAAAACTTTACCTGATCTGCAACTTCGCGTAAAAACTTTTCTAGCTCTCCTTCCTGATTTTCTAAGCATTGTGCTACCCAAAAATCTTCACCCTGGCTAACTCGGAATGACAGAACGAACACACCATTTATATCTAAATTTTCTTATAGTTTTACAGAACTTATAACTGACCTATTTGGATTTTATATAATATAAATAAAAAATGGATCAGAGAATCATTCCCAATTTATTATTACTGAAAAATTACTATTGAAAATTTACGCGTGTTATTGAAAAATTAAACATTTACCAGCGTGTACAAGACTTTGTATTCTACGAATGGAAGCCAGCATATACTGCTGATGATGCTTATATTTTTTTTTTCCATGCCGCAATACAGAAAAGGACAGTTGTCGCGTGAGAGAATAATTTGAGAAACTGCGTCGTGTTGGAGTGTTGCTATCATCATTTCCTGTTCGCACCTTAAGAAATCAATACAAATTTCATTCGATATATCCGATCCTAGTGCTTCTCAATTTCATCGCAATTGTGCTTTTTAGTTATAGAAAATAAAAGTTTTGGTGCTAATAACTTCTACTGAATTCTCATGCATTTAGTTTTTTGTGTCAAAAATTACCTTAACAATTTCTATTAAATCATTAAACAAAAATATAGCCATTCGTTTGTTCCGAGTTTTGGCCCATTCATCCTCACCTCCCAACGACAAGACATGTAGTTCAGTTTTTAATGTTCGAGCGCTTGATAATATATCAGCCTGAAACCATTCTAACACTATTATATTTTCTAACTGCAAGACTAAATTGAACTTCCTGAAGCACACAAGACTACTATAAAATATTCCTGTACTCAAACATGCAAATTCTACCGAATTATATGCATTCCTGAACAACCTTTTAAATTGTTCATGTGCTAAAATTTCTTAATCGTTACGGTACTACATTAGAAACATCTCAGGAAGAGTTTGCTGATTTCGATGAACATTCTCTCCTCTTCCTCCAATGAAGCTCGAAATCCCATATTAGTTTTAAGATGGTTAGCGTAGTAAACTTACAGGACATCGTTCAATTTCACTGGACAACTTGAAGATCATTGCATAAGAATCAGTCTGCCTGCGCGACTCGTTCGCTTCTCTACAGAAACAGAGAATTTTAAACTTTTAAGGATTACTTATACGGAAGAAAACAAAATTCCGCATTTTTTTCAAATATAACTGAACAGAATTGTAGAAAAAAACACTTCCAATGAATAAAATATTACGTGAGAGCTGCTTCCACAGCTCGTTTCGCTTTAATCAAATAAGCATTATCCGGATTTTTACGATCTGTCTTTTCCAAAATAGCTGCAAGACAACTATACCTTCATTCAGTTAGGAAGAACTTTGTAAATTCTGAAGATAAAAATAAAAAATTAGAGAAAAACTTCCTCATGACAACGTTTATTCGACAGGCTACTTTGCTTGTCTAAAAATAAGAAGCAAGCATACCCTTAAGAAGTAAGACCACTGAATGTAAGCGTTGTACTGGTCGCACTAATAAATCGGGTAAACTGTTTCGTTGACACTCCATTCGACTTTCCGCAGCCTTAAAAGTCATTTCGAGAACATCAAATAACTGACTAATGATGAAAAACTTTTTAATATACTTATTTGGTATAAATATGTAATTTTTATAACAAAGCACTTTTTAGCTATTGGTATGGTTTTATGTAATTTAAGAGTTAACTGAAACGAATACTGAGAACAGTTTTCTGTAAACCTTATCACAACTATTATAAAAAATACCTTTAAAAAAGCATGGAACTTTGGTTTACTCTGATCGCATTCATTCAGTGTCTGGATAGCTGTATCATAATTATTGATGAATGCTTTATATACTGGTGTCAATTCAGCAGCATGATCCAACCAGACCTATGAAGAGAGATGCAGGTCTACGAGCAATAAAGAGAGGTTTAGCACTAGTATTCGAAAAATTATTTCAGACTATCTTATTACTGCTACATTTGTCCATAATACTGCATGGAACTTGAATTCTAAAATGGAGCAAATAAGAGCATAAATTCTCTAGTTCTAAACACATCATATGTTTTGCACCATTAATACTTAATAGTTTTACTTTTAATTAAACTGTTACCACCAATGAGAATTTCTAATATTCAGTTTTCTTACGGTTATTATTGCACAGTGTTTGAATTATTTATCTACTTCAAAAAATGTGAATAATGTTAATAAAAAAACATTATAACTTCAGTAGCTCTTATGACCTAATTATAAACTCTGTTAAACAATGGCAGTGATAAGTGGTACTAACAAAGGTTAAAGGAAGACGATGAAAATGAAAGAGTTGATCACAAAATATGTGTTTCTCTCTGCTACATACCATATCGATGACAAATCAATCTACTTCAAAAAACGTGAAATAAAGTTAAAAAGTCAAACCTTTCCAATCAAACGTTCATTCATCCAATGCATTATATAGCTCTGGAGTGTCCGACAAATATTCTCGTGAACATCGATTAGTGGAGGTATTTTAGCGAATATTTGGCTTATTTCAGCTTTTGTGAGAAGCCCACTATCCAAATTCGGTAACTGCGCTTCAAGCGGTTCCTTGAACACCTGTAATATTTTGACAATTTAAGATAATTCAGGAAAATCTGCTCAAAATACGAATTAGGAAAACAAAAAGAGCTGGAAGGAACGGAAAAAAATAGTTCGAAACAAGATTGAAAAAATGATGGAAAAAGTGCAAATACATAATGTTAGCCAAAACTATAACCACTACTCACTTGAATTCGTACAATAAACCACCTAAATTTTTTACGTTCAGTAAATACGAAAACATAATTATATCAGAAATATACCAATTCTGCAATACGGATTTTTATGACCACCATATTTACATGCAGTTACAATAACAGCAAGGACAGACAAATACCTGCACAACAATTTTCAATGCTCTTAAATAATTTTCCTCAGTTTCAAGCATTTCTTTACACACAGCATATCTTTTGTTGAGTTTTCTTGGAGAGCTATTCAATATTTCAGAATCATCCGTTGATAGCAAATGCTCTGAGTAATCTAAAATTAGTAAGATATGTAATATTTGCTGATTTTCTAACAATAGATGAGTGCCATCTGCAATAACATTACACTGAACTGACAATTCCGA